CCTAGGGTGTATTTTGTTGTCATTGTTATAATCACATGGGTGATGTATTATTATAATTATGAAGACAACGAGAAAAAAAAGACATAGAAGGGAAATGCAATCTGTTCTTCTTCCTGATGTCATTTTTTCTTCAATTGACTTTGTCTCCGACTTTTTGCTTTCCTGTGATTCCTATCCACTGAGGTCTTCCACAGCCAGTGTCAGTCAGATGAAACCTTGTGGAAAACTTAAGAGGGGCGTGGTCTCCGTTGCCATAGAAAGTCAACTTTGAGCTCTCTTCTTCCCTGAAGCATCTCTAGCCTGCCCTAGTGCTAAGTGGCCACCAATAAGTACCTCATTACCATACGCACCTTGCATGATGGAACGTACACCATATATATTATAGATCTAGACGTAACTGTAGATATAAATACAATATCTTCTGAGCAGATAACCAATCCATGGCCGAAAACACATTCGATTGTTGCACTGTTTCTTAGGCTAGTGATGCTTCTAAATTTCCTACAGTGCAAAAAGAGTCCAACCCAACAACATATTTGGCTCCAAGTGTCAATCACACTCACGTATGGCTCGACCTCTTTCACTTTACCTCCTCCCATAAGGTGCCTGCTACAGGAGAATCTTGATAAAATGGTTGCCTGTGCTTGCCCCGCCGCACCATGTCCTCATGTATGTGTGCTTTAAAGACTTTAGCTCTGTTTTACCTATCGGATTATACATTATAACGTGATTTGAAATTTAAAAACATAAAGGCACAGCAATTTGCAGAAACCTGCTTTTTTTCTTCCTAAACTGGCCTGTACATAGATGTATTCACTCAGCTAATCGAATCACTAACTCGGTTATATCTTATTGTGTGCTGCTGTTTTCCTAAATCGTTTAATGTGCAGGATACAGTCAGACTCTCTTGGGATTTGAATGGTAAAAGAATAAATTCAAAGAAACTTTCTTCTGTGTCTTCTCTGTCTCCCAAGGGAGGGCGATTTGGGATCATCATTTACTCATTTATTTTCTCATCCAATAGGATTTCTGAGTGATTAGCATATGTCAGGCAATGCTTTAAGTTCTGTGGTTATAGCTGGGAACAAAGCAGGCATGGTGTGGACACGCATGTTTACACTGAATGTAGAGCAAAACCTACATTTTAAATGCAATTTTTAGGCATTATAAGTGCTAAGAAAAACATCACAAAGGATTAAAAAATTGGAAGATGGGGGTGTTTAAGTAGAGGGGCTCTTATTTCAGATAAAGTACCGAGAGAATTTTCTTTGGCCTGAGACTTGACTCAGAAACTGGACTGGGGAAACAAGTGCTGGATAATGTTTGCAGAGATGTCTGGAGAGGAATGTGTTCAACCTAGCTGACAGACAGTCAGACAGTGTGGTTGCTGAGATGTGCTGGGTGTGTTTTAAAAGCTATAAGGAGGGATCCTGCAGCAAGTGAGGAAGAAAGTGGAAAAAGCCCAGAAGAAGTCAAGGGCTGGTAAACTTAGGAATCAGGGAGCTTTCTTTTATGAATGAGATGGCAAGCCATTAGAACTGTAAAGAGTGAGGTAGCCTAGAGTGAGGTAGCCTGGTCTAATATGACCTATCATTGGGTCATTCTCACTGCCTGAAAGGGCAGCTTAGAGATGATGACAATAATGAGGGTGGTGTTACCTGAACTAAGGATGAGACAGCAGTGATGGAGAGAAGAGGCCATCTTTGTCACAAATATAAAAGCATAGCCAGTGGGTCAATTCATCTGTTGATTGTAAGGGGCGGGGGGGGGGGAGAACCAAGGACAACCCTGGAATTTCAACCTAAGCAGTGGATATAATTGTAAGGATATAGTTGTTCCTTCTTGAGATGAAGCCATCTGCTGAACAGTGTGATTAGGAAGGGACCCCAACAGCTCAGTTTCCAGTGTCTTAAAGTTAAGATGTTAGTTAAGGGTCTTGGCAGAGATGGTGAGAAGGTTGCTGCGTGCAAGATATGCATCTGAACAGAGTCTCACTGACTAGGTAGCTGGTTCAGGAAGTAAAATAGTACTTTGGAGTGTTCTACATATAGATGGTTTTAAAGTCTATGTATAGATAGGTTTTTAACTCTTAAAATGTATCAAGGGTGCTTCTAAAACCCATAAAGTTCCAAGGACTTAAACTCTGAGACATTTAAAGTATGAAGACAAAAACAAAACCAAATATAAAACAACCACAAAAACAATGAGTATGGGAGAAGAAAATCCAACATAGAGATGTAGGACTGTCAGGGACCCCAGAAGACTCAGCTGTAGTGAATGAACATAAACCTCAATGAGATTTGTTTCAAAATAGTTAGGGAATATATTCCCATCCATGTGTGGCTGCTTCCATTTCAGCATGGTAAGGTAGAGAACTAAATTTAATCCTTAAGATATTTTCCCAGGAGACTGAGTGGGAGTAAGAGTATAGTGGGATTGAGAGAAGAAAGTGAGATTATAAGAAGGTTCCTTAGATTCTACGATTCACAAGAAAAGACATGAAGATGTGGTAGGTCAGTGAATTGAAGAACTAAGAAATTATCGAACAGTTATTTTCTTACCTTGGGACTTTTAATACAGAATTACAACTCAAATTGTGTCATTAGAGATTATTCATGGACTCTGCTTGAGTACGAAATTAGTAAAAGATGGTAAATTCACAGATCACTGAAAAATAATGGGACAGTATTATAATCATGGACGAATAATTATTTTTGTAAAATTTTATTAACTTTATTATAAAAATACTTACAAATAAATTAAAACATCACATGCAAAAATTAACAAGACCAAAATTCTACACAACTTAATCAACTCAGAGTTATAACTGATATATGTATATAAAGTATTTTATCTATGTATTACTGTAATCTCTTTTAAATTACTTTCAAATTATAAGTTTATATTCTCAAATATATCATTTCCAGAGAAGGAAACTTGGTCAACATCTCAGAAACAGTCTAGAAAGTCTTAAAAAATCAAGTTATCATTAGCCTACTTCCTAGAATATCTTTGATTCTTAATATCCACTTACCTTTCAAAATATGTTTATAATAGTACATGTTTAGTAGATTATGGTTTCTTAAATAACTTTTATCAATTCTCCAATCAAATTAACAATTTGGATTTCAAACAGGACCCACAAGTAGTTAGTGCCATCATAGGAATGAAGATATAGTAGATTGGGTAATTTTTTTCCAATGTAGTTCACTTCAAGATCTAGGACTTGACTGATGTCAGTGGTATTGTTACTGACAGGGCATTTGTTACCTACTCAAATAGATTTCCATCCTTTCATTCTCAAATTGACGTTCCAAAACCCCTTCTCTAGGTCCTTTTCTTCCTCCTGGTTCTTCCCTGTTCTCATCCACATCCCTATTCCCTACACACCTATATAACTAATCTCTAGTCAAGGAAGCCATGTGGTTTCTGGTTTCCTGCCTTGTTCTTGCTTCTCTTTTAAGCAATTAAATTCAGCAAGTTACTGGCATTGCCATGTCTCTCTTCCACCTTTTCTCATCTCCCGTGTCATTTCCTCCTCTGCTTCTAGCCAAATTGGATTTCTTTTCATCAGGATCGTGACCCTGATCTCAGTGTCTATTGGAGTAACCAGATCTCTGGCCAATGAATATACACTGATCTGATAAGTAGAAGCACAACAAATATAGTATATATGTATATGGGCATGTGTCATCTCTCCTTATTCTATCTTAATTTATATGCTCATTTCACTCTGATAATTATTGTGTTATGTTTCTAAAAAAGATTTATGTAAGTTAAAAAGTAAATTAACATCTACAAGAGTTCTGAGGCTGTTTCCATAAAATATGGAATGAATGAAAGAATGAATGAATGAGCTCAAATAGTGAATTTATTCAGCTTCATAATTGGGTAAAATAAAAGATAAGACATTAATAAGATGAGTATTTATAAACACAGTTTGCAGAATCATAGTTCACTTTTCTTTTCAATATCAACCGGGCAATTTCCTATACTTTGGTTCCCACAGAAGTGTCCTTCCCAATGTTATGATAGTTATTAAGTATTTATTTATACCAATAAAAGCATTGACTTTACCATTTATCCTTAAAGGTTGAATTAGATTAAAGAAATGTCTTGTGTTGGTTGAGATGCAAGAGAGAAAAATCTAATGACTCCCCATTCCCTACCAGCTTCCATCCTCTTCATGTCTCTGTAGTTCATACTGTAATCACTCCTATAGCCTCATGGTCATCTCTGACATTTTACAGAGAAAGGGGGGGGGTAAATCTAGGGTACAGTAGATTTCTGATCCCTCTTTGGTACTAGACATAGTAAGGATTGAGAGAAAGAAGTTTTAAGTGTTTACCCATAGGTAAAAAATACCCCATATTTTGCATTTTTCTGTAACACATAATCTTGTCTGTTGGATCTGAAAGAGACAAGAAAGACATAGTCTCTTAACATTGGCAAAAAACAAAATTAAGAATAGTGTCACTGCCGAAATCCTTATGAGCTTGCCATGACGTCTATAAAGCAGGCAAGCAAGCAAGGAAGAGAAAAGTGAGACAAAAGAGCCATGGGAGTCAGCGGATCCACACACCTGCTGCTCATATGCTTCCCTCCCTCTTTTTAGGATTGCAAAGACGGAAGGAGAATGGGGGAAATGATACAAAGTCAGTAAAGTTTTTCATGTACAAAATTAGACTTTTGCATCAGTTGAAACTGAGTTCTTCCTAAATTTTAAAAGGTGTGCACCTGCAAATGCTTCTGTTCATCCTGTCTGCCAAGAACGAACAGTCTTCAGTGGTGTTTGTGCGACCTTTCTATCCTGCTTGAAACAACCACTACTTTCATGCCAGTCACAGCCACCTGTTGTCACCATGTGTTTTGTTGGTTCCCATATATGTAACGTCATCCCCCACCATCTTTTCTCCATCCCTCATTTCACTCAAGCATGCAGTGTGCTATTTCTCTGCTGCTGTATACATTCCGTATACATTTCTGTTCTTCCTTGCAAGACTGTGAATGCTTCGGCCACTCCAATCGGTGCAGTTATATCGATCTGCTAAACACAGTCATTTGCGTGAGCTGTAAACACAACACTAGAGGGCAGCACTGTGAGTTATGCAGGCTGGGCTACTTCAGAAATGCTTCTGCACAGCTGGACGATGAGAATGTGTGCATAGGTCAGTTCCATTATGATTTCAGCTTTTGTTCTGTGCCTTTGGAGCTGTGGGGATCTGGCTAGGGTTGAGAGGCTGGTGATGTGCAAATCGCTGACCAGAATGAATATCATCAATGGAGCAAATATCCTTGTAGTAGACTGAAAATTCGCTTGCATTTGGATAGACTCATAGTTGGTGCGGGAGGGGGGTTAGAATTTGGATCCTAATATTGTTACATTAAAGATGATGTCATGAGAAATCATCTTTAGGAAATTAAGAATATTCGAATTTTCTTTCTCCGTTCTCTTTTCTTTCTTTCTTTTGTCTTTTTTTTTGCATGAAATCTTAATCACCTCAAATTGTACATTCAGCCTTTAAAATGATAATTAACTATATTCGATATGAAGCTTTGTGGTAGAGATTTGAGTATAATTGATGATCTACAACTATTGGTACATAAAAATGTTGCCATTAAGAATTGAAAACTACTAGCAAGTTCTAATGCAGACGTTTGTCTACCTTTTCCATCTACAGTAATGAAATTCCATTTATTGGATTTTTCTATTGTTCTCCAAAGAACAAGTAATTTCTCAAAACTTCTCCAGGTTATATATTGTTAGATTATAAGATACATTAGCCCTAGAAAATAGGGTTCTGGGATGGGAGATCCCTTGCCCATGACTAATTCTTCTCACCTGGAAAGGATCACATGTTCCTTCTTTTCTGAAAAGCTTCTCCTACCTTCTCTGTAGAAGGGCCTGACGCTAAGGAAGGAGGTCTGGAGGCAAGCTTGACTGGGAACACTTGTAATCTGTACAAGTGGCAAGTGAATGCAAAAATGTCAGGATTTTTAAGGCAGGCCTTAGCTATATAGTGAATGGAGACCAGCCTGCATTTCATGAGACCCTACCTCAAAAACCGTGGAGGAAGAAAGCCTAATAGAAAAACAATAAATGGAATTTCATTCTATAGTGTCCTTTGAAAATGCAACTATTTGAAGCGTGATGTCTGTTACTACACCAGCAGTTAGTTATACAGGCCACCATTCTTAAAGACCAAGTTTCCAACAGAGACAAAGTTCAGAAGAGTTTGTAAGTTGGAAAAGTAGAGCATACAAGATGGAAACTGATGAGTAATCTTTTCGTTAGAAAGGAAAAGAAACAGTTTTTCAGTTCAACTATATGTCTAGGATCCCTGTTTTCTGCCTGTGGTATGACAGTCACAGAGATTCTTGCCAAATATCACTAATTAGCTGTATTATTGTGAGTTTATTTGGACCAAATATGCACAAATATACTGTTTATGTTTGCAGTATTTTCTATTTTTCAAAGTGCTTCCTTATTTGTTATCTGTGAATTAGTGGAGAAAGCACTGGAGTTAGATGCTGGAGAGCTGGGTTCAAGTCCCAACTTGCTATTCCCTAGCTGTGTGCCTTAGGTAAGTCCTTTAACCCTCCTGGCTTGTTTGTAAGCAAGTGGACAGGAAAAACATTCGGCAAAGTATGTACTGACCTACCTGCAACTTTAAAAAGAAACAAAAGACAAAAATTCTCATTAACAAAATAGTAGGGTAAGTATTATAAATAAAGACTTTTCCCTTTTCACACCTGAAAAAAAAGACATATTGACCCAACTTCCACACTCTTAGCAAAGAGCATCCAGACTCCATACTGAACACTCCCTCCTAACCACTCTGGAACAGCTAGCAAAACTAAAGATGCCTAGATTTTACTTCTAGTATGCTTCCTGTAGGACAGCAGCCCTGCCACTGATATCTTATAAGCAGGAGTCCAATTACCTTTCCAACACTTGGATTACAAAGACTTGGGGATAGTAATAAGAACCAGAAGATGCGCAGCTGCCTGAAATTTTGAGCACAGGAAATATTCTACTGAATCCCACTTGTGAAAATGCATAAACATCATGCTATAAATATAGGAAGAACAGAAAAGGTAAAGTTAATAGGAATACTGGAATAAACCCTAACCCGTTTTTTTCTAAATACAAAATACATGAAATTAAAATGTTTCAATTTAAATATTTTAAATAAAGCAAAGCAAAAAAAAAAGACATTGCAGAGGAAGATTGGATATTTAATTTGTGAGGCCCTACTATAGCAATTGAGAACTAATTTTAATGCTATTAGTACAGAAAGAACTAATGAAATCAAATGGATATTTGCTTAAGTCATTCTCACTCACTGGGAACTAATCTCAGACACTTTGAATTCTATCTGCATCAACTCTAAATAAAAAAAAATAGCTTTTCAAAAGACACCTTGCAAATTCTTTAGCAATTGGCAGTTATATGCTCTATCCCAACTTTGAGGGAATATCTCAGATCTCTCATCTACCCAAGGTCTATCAAGACATCTTAAAGTCATCCTGTACTATGGCAGATATGCAATGCAGTTGGCTAGTTCGTGTTGCTATGGTGATTGCTGCATTGTAGTTACTGTTGTTGAATTTACTCAGTTTTCATACAAACTCCAAACACAGTCGTGTCTTCGCGGATGCATGACATTTCCCCCTGATGATGCAACAATTACATGATAATGGCATCCTTGCATGCTTCTGTTTCCTATAAACTTGAGCATTAAGTGGGAAGCTCAAGGACACATGGTTTCTGACCTTGGGTAATCACTGTTAATAATTCCCCTAATAAGCTTTGCATCAAAAACACGGGGCTCAGCAGTTGCTACTAAACATATCTCAAAGTTAGGAGGCATTATTTTTAATTCTCCTTGAAACCCAGCATCAGGTAATCAGAGGTACCTTACACAGAACAAAAGGAAACTCAAGATGATTTTAATGCCCATAAAGAAATTGTACTGTAAAGCTCTAATGCTTTAATTGAGCTGTGTGAAGTATTTTATGCTCATTCGCAATCTGACAGCCTGTATTTTCCTCATCATTTCAGCCATCCTCACTCCCCATCTACCACTGAATAGAGCTTCATACATCTGAAAAAATGAATTATTTGTGTGCAAGGTGAAGGAGGGAAAACCTTATGTCTCCTTGCCATTTATTCTCCTGACTAAGATTTCATTTGCTAGCTTTCTTATAGCAAACACTGGAACATAGTGTGGTTTAGGTGTTGGAGATGTAGTTTTAAATTTTGTTTAAAACCTATCTTATTGACCAAGGAGAAGTAACTGGACCAGCATGTGATCCATGATGCCCAGATATAATTCCACTAACTGACTTACAAAATAGCAGTGCCTCATCATCAATGGATACATTTTATCACGTGAGAATCATTCCAGTGTAGCCCAAACTCAGTGAACACAAATGTCCAAACATGAAAAACCAATTTTAAACTATTCCTAGACATACATTAGAATAGAAGATGCCACTTCAAAAGCCTGGTTATTAAATACAAGTCAAGCACAGAAAAGAAGAAATGTTTTGAAATTTTGTTTTTGCCCTTCACACACTCATTGTTAGTTTTATAAATGTTTGTTTCATGAGGATGTTTAGCTCAAAAACCTGACTTAATACAAAATAAATCATAATTTTAAGTACTGACTACACAACATTTGAAGAAATTTTCATTTGTCTCAATGACAAAGTTCGAACAAAAACCTCCCGGTCTCTTCATCATGATAACTCCAAAGTCTCATTGCCAGTGACATGAGCTCAGTTATAATTAAGCTAAACTCCACAGGACTTCAGTCAATGGGTTACTATATGATTTTCTTTTAATTTTGAGCAAGAGAACATTATAAAGGATCCATTTTAAAACAAAAAAAAAATTGAGAAACAGAAATCCAAAGCAGCCCAGCCAAGATCTCGCAGCATGGGAGCAAGAAAAGGAAGAATGGTTCTGAAATCCCTTGCCACAAACCACCCGAGTGCCTCAAGCTGGGGGAACGATAAGTTTCCCAGTTCCAACTTCAGCTTTGAACACTCTAGAGGTTCAGACATTAAAATGCCCTGCCAAGAGTCTGTGAGGACTCAAGGAATCATTTTTATTATGCAAGAAAGTTACTTTGCCCTGCGAACAAACTTGCAATGAAAAATATATATCTCAACGTTTGTCTTTGTTGAGATTTATCTGGGAGTATGAAATTTATTTGTCTTTCATGGTTATTCATAAAAGCTATGTGATGATGCTCAGCAAATACCAGCTCTAAGGGCTCATCTCAAAGTAGGCTCTACATGAATAAGTTAAGGCACCATCTCAGATCGTGAAGCAAAACTACCTTTAAATGAGTAAAGTGCACCCATATTGCACTTGAAGATGCTCAGCCATTCTCAGATATTGAGTGTAGCAGATAAACCCATTTGAATAATTTAAAACAGATTTTACACTGATGGAATATTGATTTATCCTTGGTATACACACTTCTCATAGCATTCATTAAACAATCTAAAAAATGCTCCAACAAATGGAATCTCCATTATGATCTGTTACTGGTGAAAGCATGATGTCTTATTTCCTTGGAAGGGTTCAGATATTTTCCTCCCATATCATAAAAACGAGGCCATGGAAGGCTGAGCAAGTAAATAAATGGCCCTGAAATAGGCAGACTTGCCAAAGCATTTCATTAATGGGCATCTTCCACTAAGTAAGTGAATGCATCTAAGTAAATGAAGCTCCTGTGTTGATAACCTCTAAGCCATGAGAAGTGTCTCCAGCCTGTGTGTTGTCTTGTTTCTACAGAGTGTTATTGTAACCCTTTGGGCTCAGTCCATGATCGTTGTAATGGCTCAGGATTTTGTGAGTGTAAGACTGGAACGACAGGGCCTAAATGTGATGAGTGTCTGCCAGGAAATTCCTGGCACTACGGCTGTCAACGTAAGTAACCGTGGGAGCTGTCCTCTGCCTGCTGCAGCATGGCTGATTCCGCTTGTCTAGGCTGGTGTGTGCAGCATCTCAGAGCAGAAAAAGACCCAACCAGCTGATAAGCTCCAAAGGCTACTAAATGCCCCAGCCTGCATGCAGGAGAGTGATCTATCAGCTGTCCACTGGCTTCCCTGAAGCTTGCCTGATTGTCCTCTGATGGCTAGCGCAGCTTACATTGAAATATTGTATGGCAATGCATATACCTGGTCGGACCATAAATTAAGTGGCGCAATAGGGAACCCGGCTTGGAAATCCTCACCACAAAATGAAGTGCGATGTGTATGTGGTTAATATATTTCCTGCACTGAAAGCTACCGTGGAACTGCATAGTTCATAAATTCCACAATATCTACATAACTTATAACCACCCTTGCGATCATGCCCATCACTGAATCTTAACCTGGGTCCCGAAGGTAATCAGTCTTAGGCATATGGAAATAACATGGTAAAACAAATGACCAAAATCAATATTGGTCAAAAGCAGGGTTTGGTGCCAGAGAGTGAGTCCAGCCTCATTCCTCTGGGAACTAGCAAGTCTTCTCAGAAGCTCGTGAAGCAGGTGGCATGCAGGTCGGTACATGCAATCGAAATGCTCAAATCTGAGCAGAAGCTTCTGCCCCCCCCTTGTAACTTTGTCTGCCTTTTAATTCTTTATTCACTTCCCTTCCCATGTCTATAAACTTACAAATATGAAATGCCTACAAGCCATGTCCTCTGAAGCAGAGATAACTGATAAAAAAAAAATAGAGCAAACCACAGCGGTCATTTCAGTTGTATCACCATCACATCAAAGAATCAAAGATAAGGAGGTATGGAAAAGAGGTTTCAACAGCTGATTTCTATACATAGCCTTAAATATGAAGGATATTATCATTTTAACATATAATTAGTATCAAAATTACTGAAGATATATGTTCTAATTTTTATGGTCTTTGGAAGCCACTGGGTATTCTTTAGTTACAGAATATCTCAATCCACACTACCTGTCTGACGGGACCTAAGGGCTCTGTGTCTACCCTACTGAACAGTACAGGGATAATCCTGTGTACTTATTTCTCATTTGAATGAAATGGCACCATGCAAAAATTGTCTGGAGACAATTTCTACAAGAAGTTATGTTATTTCTACAACACAGTCATTTTATTTTCTATATGAAATTAAAGATCGAAAATACTATCACAATAACTACTGGCATAAGATTTTACTATAACTATGTTCAGAAACTAATCTCATTTTCTATCTGCCACTCATGGAATTTCTAGGTTTCTAGCAGCTTCTTTGTATGTAACATAAAATGACATGCTATGAAAAGCTAGACCATGACAATAGGCAAAGACATCTGGCATTGGACAGGTCAATATTAGAATGGGTATCAAGAGCTGGGCACTGAGAGGAACACTGAAGGACACTAAATAGCCAGAAGTAAAGCATCATGATTGCAGAGTAACTCGAGATAGGGCTAAGGATTAAAAGTCCTGTCTGGTGTAATTTTCCTGAAAGCACTTATCCTTAAAAGTGATTCCTAAAATGACATAAAGCAGGACTCAGAAGGCAGGCCATCAGTCCTCAAAGAGATGAGCATGAGACCGAGAGCTGGCCCTCAGTCAAAAGCAGCAAAGGAGAAAGAGATGCAAAGGTAGAAACAGGTACCAAGATTCAACATAAAAAGAATAGAGATATTGTAGTTGAGAGAAACTCCTCAGAGAGAAAGTTTAATGGGAAATGCTTCTGTTTATGTTTGTTTGAGACAGGGCCTCATTATGTAGCCCAGACTGATCTTGAACTCATGATGCTCATGCCTCAACTTCCTGAATACAGGTTTTAGAAATTTGCGCTACTATTCCTGTTTCCTAATGTAAAGTCTGATGAGGAAGAAAGAAAAAAGGAAGAGAGGGAGGGAGGGAGGGAGGGATGGAGGGAGGGAGGGAGGGAGAGAGGAGGAGGAAGGAAGGAAGGAAGGAAGGAAGGAAGGAAGGAAGGAAGGAAGGAAGGAAGGAAGGAAGGAAGAAGGGGTCCTACTGGAATGTAATGAAGGCCAGACTTTGATGAGGATACAAATTAATTTTATCTTAAGGCAGTATAACCCCTCACTCAGCTACTTCTGCACTAGTGATAGGGATACCATAAGAAGTTCTGTCTTCTGAGATTTCCCTCTGGAAACAGAAGGCTGGATTTGAGTCTCTGATCTACAATTAACAAAATCCTCTGTGCCTCCACACCCAGCAACTCCAACGCTTTTATGTGGATCACTGGCTAGGAAAACATTTAAGTAGGTATTGAGTGCTTCCTGAAATATTGGTATTGGGTCAAGGTTAGAAGCCTCAGGATGTGAACAGAGAGCTGCTGTGATGTAAGGTCATTGGGTTGAGTAACAATTAGGGGAGAATGAAGGCAGAGCTAAGGGAAATGTACACACTGATACGTGAGTGATGCTTGGTGGAGAATGAAACCCCTGAAATAAGAGGCCCATGAGGTAACTAGTGAGGAATTTCTTGGGAGCCTTCCAAGGTAGCAAGTACACAGAGATGCATGAGCCAATGTATTTCCTGAGGAATATCATGGTTTTTGTGTGATTCGAGAAGTGTGTGTGTATGTGTGTGTGTGTCCTGGCCCCTCTCTCTCTCTCTCTCTCTCTCTCTCTCTCTCTCTCTCTCTCTCTCTCTCTCTCTCCTGTGTTCACATGAATGTGTCTGGGTATGACAGAAAATATTTTTAAAGAAAGTAGATTATGTGATTTGTTGAATTCTGCCAAGAAGTTTCATGTCATGGAAAAGAACTGAAAGTGTCATATAGGAGAGGTGTGGTACCCAGCATATACTTTTAAGGAAAAGGTTTGTAAGAGTGAGATTTCTTTTTGGAAACATTCTTGCACTTCATTAAATGAAGAATTAGAATATCTCAAGACTGGATTTGACATATATATTTAATGTATTTCAAATTTACTTTTGAGCACACAAGTTTTTTTTTTTTAACTTACTTTGAATGCTTTTTACTAAAGCCAGTATTAGACATAGTATTAGTGGCAGAAAATTAACAAATATCTGATAAAAAATATCAAGAAGAAAATAGAGCAGGATTGTCCATGAAATTGAATGAGCTGAAATATATATTGTCTGTTTTATATATATTATATATATAAATTATTTATAAAATATATTGTATCTAGTAGCTCTCAGTGATGAATTCAGAATGTATGTTATAGATACTAGAGTTAGAAAGGTTCAGGCCCATGACTCTAGTTCTCTTAACCCCCAGAAATCTTGTAAAAGGTTCAACGTAGAGCTAAAGTCCAAAAGAAATTGAAATTGAGAACAGAAATGAAATCATGACGATGTCACCTTATATCCTGTGAATGAAAACAAATTTACAACTTGGGTTTCTTGAATCTTAGGCTGCTTTGAATTCCCTAGAAACCACTTAGAGTTCTTAAGTCTGGATTTGCATGTAACAACAGAGATAGTAATAGGACCATATATGTAAGGAAACTGTGATAATTCAAGGGAAATAATGGCTGTGACCTTCAAAGTGCATAACAGGAATTCAGTGGGTTATTATTTCCTTCCCATCATTTGTTGATCAACAAAGAACTAGATGAAACTTCATACTCAAAAGCACAGTATGTGATTTTAGTGTGTATCTTACAGCCAGACTGGCCACTGCTATTAGATTACCATGACGATGTAGGTACTTCTAAACATGCCTTAGTTAGATATAGGGCTGATAAAAGAGACTGAAGCAAAACTGATTGCAAAAGCCACTGTGTGTCATCTGTGGAAGTGAAAGAACTCCAGCTTCACGTGCAAACTTCCTGCCAAAGAACTGTCTGTCAATTCTGTGCCCTATAGTGTATGTGTTTTCTCTGTTGGAAAAAAATGTGAAAACTTTGGAAACCACAATACTGAATTGTCTTGGAGAGCATGAAACACATGATCCAAAACCAAAATATAAGCAAGAGAACTTCAGCCAAGTATGGAGCCTCACACCTGTGGTCCTAGAGCTTGGGACATAGATGCAGGAGGATAAAGAATTCAGTGTCATCCACGGTTCATAGAGAGTTCAAGGATATTCTTGGCTACATGAGCTCATTTATAAAGAAGAAAAGGAAAGAAAAGAAAGAAAGAAAGAAAGAAAGAAGAAGAAGAAGAAGAAGAAGAAGAAGAAGAAGAAGAAGAAGAAGAAGAAGAAGAAGAAGAAGAAGAAGAAGAAGGGAAGGGAAGGGAAGGGAAGGGAAGGGAAGGGAAGGGAAGGGAAGGGAAGGGAAGGGAAGGGAAGGGAAGGGAAGGGAAGGGAAGGGAAGGGAAGGGAAGGGAAGGGAAGGGAAGGAGATTTGGGTTTTGGTGGGATAAAGTTTTAGTTTAGTGTGAAGGTTGTCAAGAAAGAAAGAAAGAAAGGAAGGAAGGAAGGAAGGAAGGAAGGAAGGAAGGAAGGAAGGAAGGAAGGAAGGAAGGAGGTAGGTGTCAAAGTCTAGTGCATTGGGGTCCCTGGGTAAGGGTCTCACACAAATGACGGCACAGGGGATGCAGAGTATAAACAACTGTATAACAAGCTTTATTTTGTATGGCTTTTTATACAAACTAAAAAGCATTACCTCAACTCTGAAACCCCCCTTTACTCAGGTACATGATCATGAGAAACTTACCTCACCTTGTAGGAAACAATACCTCGATTAATAACAGTAATAAAAATGAAAAGAAGTACATAGAAACAAGGCAAAAAGTATACAGAAGCAAAGCACTCCTTTATATCTGATAGAGCGTGAAGAACTCAAAGGCCACTTCCTTATCCAGGGTACAGATTCTGACAGAACGCATGAGAAATGGGCAGAGAAAGTTTGCTTTCATCTATGCTTGGTTTGCCAAGCAACCGTTTCCAACTTCATCTCATCTGTCCCAGGAGGAGCCTGCACTCTAAACCAGTTCTGTGTCTCCACAGGCACTAAGGAAGGAAAGAAA